CCTCAGCCTCCCAGAGAGCTAGGATTATAGGCGTGAGCCACCGCGCCCGGCCGCTCAGAAGAGTCTTAAAAATGTCTTTGTAATTTTAATTTAACAGAAATTTAGAACTTGGCATTTGGAAGAAACTGGTATAGTTTTTAATGTTTTATTATATAGATAAGGAAATTAAGTCTCTGATAGACAACTTTCTCAAGGTCATGAAGCTGGTAGTTAGCTGGGTGTTGTGCTGTTTCCATTATATCTAGCTAAATCCTTTTTTGGGCCCTCTTTCATACAGAAAGAAAGTTTTGATTTGGAAATCCTATTTCTACTTAGGAAAGCAGGAACTTTTAAAATATGTGTTCTTTATTTAGTTTTGGAATTTTATATTCAAATTTAGTACATTTAAAAAAATCAATATGGTGTCTTCTCTGCTTTTTTGTAGATTACTTGTTGAACGGATCTTTGCTCAATACATGGTTCCTCACAATTTGGAAACTACAGAACGGATGAAGTGCTTATATTACTTGTATGCCACACTGGATTTAAATGCTGTGAAGTATGTTTTGAATGTCAAACTCTTATTCTTTTCATCTTTCACAGTATATTGATTGGATTTTATGGAAAAGAAACCATAAGTAACGGAATTTTTAAATGTAAACTATGTAAGGTAAACGTTGTGTAAAGGGTGAAGTCACAATAAAGTACTTGGCTGTTTTTGTTTTTAGAAAGTACTGCTATCAACATATTAAAGCCACTGTAAACAATTGAAAAATAGAGTTGATTGACATGGACTCTTTTAGGATTTGATTTTTTTTGTCTCTAGATTTTTATACTGTTGGTATCTCAAGAAATGTTGATGTTCCTGTTCTTTCTTGTTTTCCTTAAGGTGTTAGAAAGGTCCATATTATGAAAAATACTGTCTTATTCTCACTGGGTACTGATTTGAATTATGCTGTAGGGTAGTAGGGTACAAATTTTGTGCTGCATAGCCTTAATACAGTGTTGTAGTTTGGCATAAGGGTAAGCACAAATATATTTTTATTACCATGTTTCATTCAAAAAATTCTTTTGAGTGTCTGGGTAGAGAATTGGCATTTTAGACAAAGAAGAGATATTACTAATCTAATTGAATCATATTAAGGGTAAGGAAATTGAGGCCTGGAGGTTTGTGTTAGGTTTTAGGAAATATAGACCTTTAGTATTCCAGCAAATGTAGTTTATAGTTATTGGGGATTTAATGTTCAGAGATTCGAAGTCTGAGGAGCTGTATATAATTTTCATTTGTACCACTGCCTAATGGGGCTTTTGATTTCATTTCCTCCATGGAAATAATTATATGTGCTATTTATATTTTATATAGAAATATTGGGGGAAAAGTTGTAGCAAGGAGAAATATACATTTCCTCATACCTGCTGTATTTCAGGCACTGGGATTTGTGTAATCTTTAGCTGCTTTTATACTATAGTGAAAAAGTAGTTGCAAAAGAGACCCTATTGCCCACAAAGCTTGAAATGTTTACTGTCTGGTCTTTTGCAGAAAAAGCTTGCCAACTCTGGTTTAAGTGATATTTTTCCTGTTTCACACAGAGGTTAATTAATCTGCACAAGGTCACACAGAAGTTGTAAGAGAGGGAGTCAGGATTTGAAATCAGTTCTGCTTGGTTCCAAAGCTTATTTTTTCTGCTACATATAGTATGAATAAAATATATTACCACCATATTTAATTACTTATATTACACATTTTTGTCTGGAATTGGAATGCATCCTAAAATTGTTGATTTGGCATAATTTAATTGGTGGCTCTTTTCCTCAGGGTACAATTAATTGGCGGCCTCTTAGATTGGATAAAATGTGGTATATGTATCCTATTTGAAACAATTTGTTGGAAATCACAGTAAATCTAGACTTCTTGGCTCAGCTCAGCTATCATTCAAGAGTAAAAATGAATTAAAGACACTTTGAAGCACAACTGAGAATTTGCCACTCATAGATCCTACTTGAAAAAATTACTAAAGAAGAATTTTTTTTTGGTAAAGAAAACTAAATCTAGAAAGAAGGAATAGGATGCAAGAAGTGGCAAACGTTGCAAACATTTCCACAAATCTAATCAAGGCCTGTAAAAACAATAATAAAGTTTTCTTTGTAAGAGGTGAGGTGTGGATTAAAAAGTAAGTAGCATCTAGGCCAATACTTAGCCAGCGCACAGCACTTGTAGCCCTCTGTGAACTCTCCTGGGTGTCCTTGGAACCTTCTCTCCTGTGGTCCCACCATGCCTGGGCATAGCAAGAGGGCCTCCGGGACTTTCTTGCCCTGCCTATTCTTCTGATTGGTTGATACCATGCCTCTGTGAAAAATTTTGAATACTAGGTGTGGACCCTGTCAGGTAACAACAAGTAAGATGGCAGGTAAGTAATGAGCGTTAAAGTGTTGTAAGTTTCTTTTAATCATATAAGTGTGAGGGCAGGCATGTTGATTCATTAGACCATAAGTCAAGTATGCTTGTTAAAAATTGAACAGTCACCCCTAAAAGAATAGAATTAGAACATACAGCTTCCAAACCTGGAAGAATGAAAAAGAATTAATGAAAACTTTGATACCAGTAGCAAAAAAAGAAAAGAAGAAAAAAATAACAGTAAATAGAAACACAAATTATAAATAGTAGTTACAAAACTAAAAGTACTAAATTGCATTCATCATGTAAATGACAAGTAAATTTGATTGAATTAAAAAGTAAAACACCATGCTGTTCACAAGAGATATGCTGAAAAATAATCCTGCTAAAAGTTGAAAGTAAATTCCTATCTGGACCAGTACTCAAAAGACTTTGCTTCTATAAAAATGGTTGGTGAATGAATGAATATTTATCTATTTTAAGATAAAATATTTTAAGATACATACCATTTTTTAAGTGATTTTTATTTTAACCAACTTTGTGAAATCAACCGACCAACTCTAATACTTACGAACATTTTAGTACTTACTTTACATTTATCTGTGATTATTTTGTCCCAAAGCCTTTACATTTTTTATTATGTAATTAAAGAAATCACTTTATGTGAGTTATGAAGCATAGTAATGAAATAACAAAATCTGTGAATCTACCACCTAGCTTGTAAACGCTTCTCTCTTTCATCCTATCTTCCTCCCAGAGGTAACCTCCAGCCTTGTTGTCTTTCTCATTTCTTTTTTAAAAATTGTTTTAACATATGTGTATATATCTCTGTATAAATATGCGTATCCCTCAATAATATATTTTTGCTTGTTTTTGAACTTTGTGAAAGTGAAATAATTGTGTATATAATCTCCTGTCACTTTTTCTTCACTATGTTTCTAAGATTCATCCATAATATTATATATAAAGCTGTAGCTCGTTCATACCACATGGTATAGAATTACATTGTCATTAATCCATAATTTTATTCCATTATTTTGACTTGGAAATTTGAGTCAGTGGAAAAAATGGACATTTGTGTTATTTACATGTTTTCACTATTTCAAATAGTGACTATAAACACTTTTTAATTTGGTATACACGTGTAAGAGTTTCTCTAAGGTATGATTACAAATGGTTTTCAAATTGTCTACTTACTGAAATCACCTTGGGAGGGTTGAACAATACCTTCAACTAAGTCTCTTCTTCAGAGATTCTCATTTGTCTGTAATATAGGTTTTTAGAAAAGCATTTCGGGAGATTGTAATGGGCAATCAAGGTTTGGAAGCCACTAGTATTAGATATAGCAAGGAGTGGAATTGCTGAATATATGCATTTTCATCATTATAAACTAGTGTCAAATTATTTTCCAACCTGATTATACTAGTTTATACTCCTCCCAGTGTTTCATGAGTTTCTATATCCTCCTCTGTATTATTAGACATCTTAATTTTTGCTAATCCTTTGAGTATCAAATTTTATCTTACCATCCTTAATTTTCCTGAATGCTGATAATATTGATCTTTTTATAGTTTTATGGTCCATTATAAAGTCATTTGAATATATGACCTCTACATAGTTTGAAAGGGACTTAAAAAAATATTAGATGCTGTTTCGTAGGTGGAGAAAAAGAAAAAAAAGGAATTAAAAAAAGCTGCTTGTCAGATAGTTTCCTGGTGAGCACTTGTTTGGTAAAGATTCTTTCTTGTTGAAAGAGCGAATTATTTTATTCTGTGACTACTTTTTTGGGGGGAAGTTAAAGTATTTCCTATATTTTAGACTTTTTGATGTAAACCAGTTTTTGGATAAGTTCCTAAGTAAACTGAATATCTTGATTATTGAAAAAGAGAATAGATACAGTCTTGAGTACTGTCTGATGACGGTGTGTAGTTCCACCTCCCACAAGTTTCCTAGAACTTCTGTTAATGACAAGAGTAGGATTTAGTAGCAGATATCTTAGTTGTGATCTTCTCTTTCATTGAGCAGGTTTGCATCTAGACAGTTTTATTCTTCTGAGTTTGGTGGGTGATTTGCCTAGCCGAGAGCAAAAGGTTGGAGGAGAGGTTCTTTTTAACATTTGAATAGGTACCTGACTGAAACTCAATGGTAGCTGTATTTTTCTTTGAGTTGCTGAAGCCCTAGTGACAGAATTAGTTGTCTATAACCTAATCATCTGTACCCCCATAATATGCTGAAATAAAAAAAAATATCAAATTTAAAAGTTTAAAAAAAATGTCAGATAACAAAGGTAAGAGCACCCAAGGTCTAACTAGAGTTTACATTTATTTAGTGACAGAACTGGAATTCAGATTAAGATTAAATAAATGGATATTTGTCTTCCTATCATAATATTGCTTCTCCCTACTATAACTTTTTTCTCTTTTTTAAAGAACTATTTATTATAGAAAGGCAATAAACAAGGACACATTGCCTTGCTGCTTAATATAATTTTATTAAAATACTTGAGAAGACAGTCCTTAATACGTTATAATATCAATTCTTAATGACGATCGGTTTTGGATTTAAGCTATAGCCATAATAGTTTATAATGGGCTTTAGAATTGCTTGAGATTTCATCTTTATTTTTATTTTTTTTTGGAGACAGTCTCACTCTGTTGCCCGGGCTAGAGTGCTGTGGCGTCAGCCTAGCTCACAGCAACCTCAAACTCCTGGGCTCAAGCAATCCTCCTGCCTC